CCGTGGAGGGGGTGTTCGCTTACACTGGGCTTTGGATTTTTTATGTTAGAAGTTGAGCTGATGACTTGTGGGCAGGAATGGTGGGTGGGGGAGCTGGGAGAGAGGAAGGGAAGCAGTGACACTGTTCAAAGAGAAATGTACTCAAGCCAGGTGCTGGTGGCTCACACCTATAATCCTAGCGACTCAGGAACCAGCTTGAGCAGAACAGTCCCCATGAGACTTTTATCTCCAATTAACCACCCCCAAACAAGAGGTGGAGTGGCTCAAAGTGGTGGAGTGCTAACCTTGTGCAAAAAGAGCTCAGGGACAGTGCACAGGCCTTGAGTTCAAGATCCATGGCTGACAAAGAAGAAGAGGAAGACAAAGATGAAAAAGAGGAAGAGGAAGAGGAAGAAGAAGAAGAAGAAGAAGAAGAAGAAGAAGAAGAAGAAGAAGAAGAAGAAGAAGAAGAAGAAGAAGAAGAAGAAGAAGAAGAGGAGGAGGAGGAGGAGGAGGAGGAGGAGGAGGAGGAGGAGGAGGAGGAGGAGGAGGAGGAGGAGGAGGAAGAGGAGGAGAGAAGGAGGAGGAGGAGGAGGAAGAGGGGGAGGGGGAGGAGGAGGGGAGGAGGAAGAGGAAGAACAAGAAAAAAGAAATGCACTCATTACCTAACTTACATAACCATAACCCCTCTGTACATCACCTTCATAACAAAAAATATATACATATATTTAAAAAATTAGGCAAGAAAGGAGTGACATTGTTCAAACAGAAGCATGTTCTTTATCTCACTTATGTAACTGTGGAGGAGGAGGAGGAGGAGGAGGAGGAGGAGGAGGAGGAGGAGGAGGAGGAGGAGGAGGAGGAGGAAGAGGAGGAGGAGAGAAGGAGGAGGAGGAGGAGGAAGAGGGGGAGGGGGGAGGAGGAGGGGAGGAGGAAGAGGAAGAACAAGAAAAAAGAAATGCACTCATTACCTAACTTACATAACCATAACCCCTCTGTACATCACCTTCATAACAAAAAAATATATACATATATTTAAAAAATTAGGCAAGAAAGGAGTGACATTGTTCAAACAGAAGCATGTTCTTTATCTCACTTATGTAACTGTAAAGGTGATATACAGATATATCACCTTTATAATAACAATAAAACATTTTTGAGAAAGAAACAAGTTTGGCTGAAGAAGTCACAACAAGGGGGTAAAGCCATGGAATTAAAAAAGAGAAGATGCCTTTTTTCAAAAACATAATGGACATTCCTTTATTCTAAACCAGTTGTAATCACTGAGAAGAACACAAAACGAGTAAGAAAAACATCCTTCTTTTATATAGTCCACACTAGATGTTCCTGTAAAGTATTGGGGTCATGAGGGCACTGTGATTAAAGATGGCGAGGGGTGTTTCCTGATGGATTGGAATCCAGACACTACTAATTGTAATTACTGGCAGGTGTGTGTGCATGTGTGTGTATGTGTATGTGTATATTTGTGTGTGTGTGCGTATGTGTGTGGTGTTTGTGGTTTAACCTTTCAAGCTTTGTTTCCCCCTCTTTTCAGGAAGCATCATGAGAAATGCTCAATATCCTTAGCCATAAAGAAAATGTATATAAAAACACCACCTCTTCCCAGTCAGAATGGTGATCATTACGGAAATAAGCAATAGCATATGCTAGTGAGGGAGTGGGGGGGGGGGGGAGGGAGGGAAGGTCATGTGACCAAACAAACATATAGTGAAGATACCTGAATGCACATGTTTACAGCAGCAAAATTCACAACAGCCAAATAAGGAATCAGCATAAGTGCTTATCAGCCATTGAATGGGTAAAGAAAAGGTGATTTATCTATGCAAGAGAGTGTCATTTGGTCACAAAGCAAAACAAAAATGGTGTCATTTGCAAGAAGGTGGATGAAACTAAAGATGATCATGTTAATTAAGTGAAGTAAGCTAGACAGAGCAAGTAAAATATTCCTTAAAATCAAACAACAGGAATGAAAACAGGTTCATTTTGTGAATAGTGGAAAGGCAAAAAGGGAAGGTATGGGCAGAGAGTGAAAGAAAATAAAACAAAGAAAGCTGTTGACATTGGCCCAATAAGAGAGAAGAGGGGACGAGAGAGGACTAATAGAGGAAATGAGTTTGACTGGGGACACTGTTCACATATTTAGACATATCACACTGAAACCCTGTTTTATACATAATAAATGCTAACAAAAAGAGGAAAAGATAAAAAGAAGTCATTGCTGGTGATTTCTACATCGCATAGAAAAGAACTTCTTTCCTTGATCATCTACATATTTTGGCTGCTTCATTTGTTAAATTAGCCCTTGAAGCCACTCTACCAAGTCTATAATGCACAAGGTAAATGGACAGCCACAGCTGTACTCATAGTAAAGACACGACACACAGAGGTGGAAACTGCTGTGTTTGGAAACCAGTGGCAAGGTTTTCCTTCATGTGAGCATGAAAATGTCCAGGACAAGTGAAATTTATTTACCAAAAATGCTTTCCCAGAAGCAGAGAGGAACCCTTTCTGCTCTCCTCAGATGCTCACTCACTGTCTCGGTTCAAAACACAAAGGTGCTCTAGAAATGAAGAATGACAACTGTGCTGTTTTTGCAGGGGCTGCAAACGACAAAAGGAAATGGATGGCTTGGGGAAGGGAGACACCAATACAAAGGAAGACACGGCCATTCCTGTAGCACTCAATCACAGATGCCACTAACAGGATGCGAGCATCACCCGGGACCACAGGCATCCCGGTTCAAAGCCTGGTAGAAGCAAGGTCCCAGGCACAACCCAGGCATATTCATCATCTTGACGTCTAGATGGAAAGGGGGTCAGCTGGACCGTAAAAGGCTGAGGCCGCTGCCAACTCCACTCATGTTCAAGCTGTTAACATGTTCACGATCAAAGGGCCTCTCTTTATGGTGTGAGTGGAAGTGATCACAGTCATTTAATAGATTGGGAAAAGGGTGTAACCAGTGCTTCTGTTAACAATGGCTGGAGAAAAGGACCTCTTACTTTCCCAGGAGGCTGAGGGCTCCTGCAACTCAGGTTAGAATGGAGACACCATTCATGGAACTGTGCCTGGGCCCTAGATATACACAGTGTCTTTATACAGCATGTTTCACTACTCTTGTGGAAATCTCTGAGGTTGGTGCAAGATGTTAGCTTCATTTTATAGATGCAGAATCCCGGACTCTCTAAGGGCCACCTAGGATTAGGTAGTCAGTCTGAAGCTAAAGAGGAAATAGCTTTCAAATTTCCTCTCTTACAGGGGTAACTTGGAAATTCAGATATAAAAAGAGAATTTCATGCCAGGAACTGGTGGCTCACGCCTGTAATCCTAGCTGTTCACAAAGTTGACTGAAGATTAGAGAGAGAGAGAGACAGAGAGACAGAGAGAGACAGAGAGAGAGAGAGACAGAGAGAGAGAGAGCAGATTCGATGGAGGAGAAAATGTAGAGATGAACATATCTGGAAGTTTGTCCTGGATTATAGATGTTTGTTTGGATTTTAGATCTATTTTCAGATTTTGGAATATTTACACAGACAGGATGAGATTAGAGAGGGATGAGAATTACGTTCAACCATAAAATTCATCCATGCTTCATATATTTCACTTTACACATTGACTAGAAGTTATATTTATACACTTTTTAGTCAATTTTATACATTTTTCAAGGTGTGGTATTTTGGTACAAGTCTTGTCAGTGCTCAAAAGGTTCTGAATGTTGGGACAATTTCAGTTTGGGGTTAGAATGCTCAGCCTTCGTTATCCAATCCTCTGTATCAGCCTCATTGGAAAAGCGAAATACCCGTCTGTCGGGGTGAACCATAGCTGTACAGTTCTGCCCGCTCTAAAGCAGCGGCTGGGGAAAGCTAAGAAGTATAAGGTCTAGCAGCTCAGCTGCACTTTAGAAAGATAAATTCTACCATTTACAAAACCATGACCAGGAAAAGATCAAAGATATTTGAAATGCAGAATGAGTAGCAAAATGCTGGGTATTCAAGTTCCCCTATGTGTAAAAGGCAAGTGCTTTGCTCTGTACTTTAAATTGACTTTCTCAATACCTGTGCAATACCTCCATGAACTACATATTGTGAAATTCCCATGCATCAGGAAGATGATGGTATTTTTTTCAAAGTTACCCAGCTAGTGAACAGCGCGAGAGTGTGAGAAACTCATGGAAGCTAGCCTAGAAACCTGTTAAACCTTTGTCTATTAGGCTAGTGAACAAGATGTGTGGGAAAACAGGAGACTCCATATAATTTTCTATTGTGCAGACTTGGGGCTGTGGTTTTAGAAAAACAATTTGTTACGAGTTTAGTTCAAGTTAAGTAAGGTCCATTGTTATCTGGGAAAGATTGGTTGCAGAGTTCTCATGAGTACCAAACGCTGAAGCTAGTCAAATGCTTAATAAAATTACAATGCTCTTGATGGCATGTAGCCTATGCACATACTTCCTTATACGGCAAGTCATCTCTTGACTGCTTATAATGCAGAGAACAATGCGAATGTTATACGCACAGTTGTAACCTCACAATATTTAGGGGATAATAGCAAGTCAAACCAGTCTTTTCCCACATAATTTCACATCTAGTGATATGGAACAGAGGGACAGATGTCTACTTTAAATGCAATTATGACTCTCCAACATCACATCAAATTAGCTGCACTTAAAAGTAAACCATGGAAACAGAAGTTAAAAGTCAATAACAGAAGCCTTGGGCTGCCAGTCATTCTAGTCTTTTCTCTATCACTGAGTTACAGTGTATATGTGGACCAGTCGTTTCTCTAAAATGAGACTGAAACTTTATCATGTCTAAGGTTACATTAGACACTGGAATGCAAAGACCCAGACAAATACATTCAACGTACCAGCAACAGAATGGTTCGGTCTACAGCGACTGTCTCGTCAGCTAGTCTGATATGCAATTTCCATGTGTTACTTCTACACAGGTATTTATGACTTTTCCTTTAAATATTAAACAAACAAGAGGCATGCAAATGTCACCTACTATTTTCTTATCATAGGACTCTCCACTGCTATAGGTTGTGGCCAGCGTAGATGAGCATTCTTCTAGGTACCAAGGTTTCTTTCCACTTTCTGCTGTGCTGCTGATGGAGATGGTATAGATGCTGTTGGTGTAGCCGTCACAGGAGCAGTGGTCTTTGCTCCTCCCACCATTGCCAGATGCCCAGACAAACACCGAGCCAAGGCCTCTCCGCCCCTGTTCACAAAGAGAGAAGGTTAAATCATGGTGTGGAAAGACAGGGGGTCAGCGGCTCTAGATAAAGTCTAGATTGGAAACAGCAGGACAAGGGCTGTTAATGATTTCCATCTACAGGATGGGAATGCTAGATTTAAGCTGCTTTTTGTGAGGACAAATAGTAAACTAAAATAGGGCTCAAAAGCAGCAAAGAGTACAGCAATGATTGGTATTTACAAACTGGGCACGATTAAAACACTTTATATGAAGTGGATTGAATTCTCCCAACTTCTCCGTGAGATTAGTACAATTTTGGCCCCATTGTGCAAATGTGGAACTGAGGTACTGAAGTTTACCCATGTTCCTTTCTTTTTTTCTTTTTGGTCAGTCATGGGGCTTGAACTCAAGTCCTAAGCGCTGTCCCTGAGCATTTTACTCTACCACTTTGACCCATAGTGACATTTCCAGTTTGCTGGTAGTTAACTGGAGATAAGAATCTCATGAACTTTCCTTCCTGGGCTGGCTTCAAACTGCAATCCTCAGAACTCAGCCTCCTGAGTATGTAGAAATATAGGTGTGAGCCATCATAACCTGGCTTACCTCATGTTCTTAAGGTGATACAGTTGTTCTGGAGGAGGAAAAATTTGAATCCAGGCAGCTAAACCCTAGAGTTGGAATGTTATTAGTTGTAATCTTCAGCATCATAAAATGCTATTTTAAATCTAGCTATTTACCATAAAGTATGGGTTTTTATCACTCCAAGTTCACATCTGAGGTGTATGTTATATATCTATGCTGAATCCTACTGTCAATAAGCCATAGGAGCAAGTTCTATGGAAATACACACAGAGACTATGTCTCTCCCATGTATTGTACAGACCCCAGTTACTAAGGACTGTTGATGACTCAACTATAAAAAAAACAGAATCCCAAGATCATGTAGGCTTGGGAAATACATGTTAAAAAAATTCTTTACTGCAAAACTTCATAAGGTCTTTAATAAGTGAATGCTCATTACAAAACTTAGGAGTGGGGTATTATCTACTGTAATTTACAAATACGCGAGTTCATAAATTACTTTCTTCAACCAGATTCATTCAGTTTTTCTTATAAGGCTAAGAGATAGAGTCACATCCTTGATACCCACACATGGTAGTTTCAAGTCCCAACTAAGTAATAAATAGAAGCCAAGAAGAACACAGAAGCAATAAACATTTATATGGTTGCATACAATACTTTCAGGAGAAAATGTAGAAATAAGCCAAAATGAAGAGCATTTGTAGATTCATGCCTAAGAATTTGTTTATTTTGAAGCTAGAAGGCACATTGGAGAACATCTAGACTAAGCCCAATATTTTCTAGTTAGAATGTGAGGCGCAAAGTCATACTGCTGGTATAGCTGAGACTCTTTCTTCCTCGATGGGAGGAAGTGTTTGAAATGTTGTCTTAGACCTTCTAGAAGAAGAGCTAAAGAAAAAGAGCAGGTAACAAAACCCCTATAGTATCCAGGATTAGACTCTTCCTGAACTTGCATCCTTAGAGATTGAATAGTTAGCACATGATTTGACTAAAATGAACAAAGATTTCTTGGAAAAATGCAATATGACCATAAAAGAAAAGGAGAAGTCATATAGAAAGAGACAGAGACAGACAGATGAGCTTCTAGTTGCTGTTGTTGCTAGATGACAGTTAAGCTGGGCTCCCCATGCTTCCCTCTCCTAAGACAGTATGCATGTAACTTCGAGTTACAGTCTCACTTTGGTGTGAGCTATCATTGTGTGCCTTATATCCAGACCTCAGAGAACAACATAGCTTGAGAACAGCGATACTCTGATTCCCTCAGCAGTATGCTTCCTCTTGCAGACACTTGTGGGGCTTTGTTGCTATCTAAAAGCAAAGTCACATGGGCTCTATCTAGACAGGACAGCAGAACCTAGCAGACGATGGCACCTAGTTTAACCAGCACCATTTGAGAGAATTAAGAACCAGAAAGCAATAAAAAAAAGTTCATAAGTGCACAATCTTATTTGGTTATCGGTATAAATCTGTGACTGTATGTTCATATTTAAATTCTTATTAAAATATTATAAAATTGTTTTATTTCAATATGCAATAAGAAAATATTCATAAAGTACTATTATGTTAATGGTATGTCTACAAATGGATATAACAAGATACAGGATGGGTTTAAGAAAAAGATGCTATTTGTGTGTGTATGAGACGGTGACTCTGTGTGTGTGTGTGTGTGTGTGTGTGTGTGTGACTGTGTGTGTGTGACTGTGTGTGAACGTGTATATTCATGCAGAAGTCCATATGCTAAAAATTATCATGAGCCTGCCTTTTTCTTTTTTCCATGGTTGGTCATGGGACTTGAATTCTGGGCTTGGGCACTGTCCCTCAGCTCTTCAGCTCAAGGCTAGCACTCTACCACTTGAGCCACAGCGCCACTTTTGGCTTTTTCTGTTTATGTAGTGCTGAGGAATCAAACTGAGGGCCTCAATCATGCAAGGTAAGCATGGAGCCACCTTCACAGCCCCTATCTTTTTTTATTTTGGTTGGTTAGGGCCTGGGCATTGTCGCTGAGCTTGTTTTCCTCAAGGCTAGTGCTCTACCATATAAGCTAAGTGCTACTTCTGGCTTTTTCTGAGTAGTTTACTGGAGATGAGAGTCCCACAGCTTTATCTGCCTAGGCTAGCTTGGAACCATGATCCTCAGAGTAGTTAGAATGACAGGCATGAGCCACCAGCACGGAGTGTGTGAGCCTATCTTACAGGGATACTGTGTCTTATCAGTTTGCCAAGATTAAAACTTTTATTTTGAATTTTATACCAAGTTTACAGGATTTCAAATTATGTTTATAGATAGCCAATCACTAATTCCTCTCTTAAGACAGGAAACACAGGGGCACTTCTGAAGAGATAAATGTTCAGTGATGATCAACATGGGTTTCAGCCACAGAAGGACTAGAACCTCTCTCTGTGCTAAGCCCTGTCCAACCATGATTCTGCAGGGTCCCAGTTTGTATCATCATTATTTTATACATGAGCAAATGTGTCTCTGAAATGCCCGCAATATCAGAGCCAGAAATTGAACAAGTATCTCACAACAGAGTTCTTTGGGGGTAAAACAAGGACCTTGTATCAGCCAACGCTCCACAGAGGTGTAACAACATTCCCACGGTCCACTGGCTAGGCTGAAAGACCTTCTATGAGAAAATAATGCACAGTAGCTCGGTTGAAAAATGTCCCTTTCTGAGCGGATACTATCCCTGTTTTAAATGGATACTTTGGGGGAATTATTTTATAAATGAGCATGGAAACCTCAAAGGACAGTGTGGGCACATTAACCATCCCCAAGTCTGAAGAGATTTCAGGAGAAGGAGGCACTGGGACTGGAGACCAAGGGTTTTTACGACTTGGTCACAGGCCCCAGGCCAACTGCAGGGAGACTAAGACTCCACCCCTTTGGCCTCTTAAGCCTGTTTCTAGCCAGAAGCCAGAGGACCTGGGGGTCCATAGACAGACTATGGAGATCAGCACTCTGAGTATGGAGCTTGCAGTGAGCAGGGAAGCAGAGATCAGGAGAAATATTTAGCATATTCCCCAATAGAGCCCCCCTTCCCCACCCCGCAATTCCTATGTGAAAAGCTCTGATCACTCAGTATGGCTGTGTTGCTAGATAAGGCCTTGAATGAGGCACCTCAAATTAAGTGAATTCATGAGCGTAGGGCTTGATAGGACTGGATTTCCAAAAAATAATGGGAAGACTCATCAGTGATTGGTTTACTCACATTCCTTCTCTCCATTCTCCACTCTGACCCCTAAGAATGAGGTCATGGAGGCCATGTGAAAAAGTAGCTATCTACATGTCAGCTCAGCTCTACTGCTACTTTGACCTTGGAATGAGAGAAATCAGTTTCTTTTGCTTAATCCTCCCAGTCTGAGTTAGTCTATAAGACAGTCCCAGCTGACAAACACAAGGAGAAAAGAGGAGATACACCATGACCTGACCTCATGAGGGCTGAAGACTACAGGGACACCATCATTATCCTATCTACAAGTAAATCTGACATCCATGCCCCTGTGTGGTTTATGACCAAAATCTCAAAAGTAAATGGACTGAATTTGTGAGTTGGGAAAAAAAAAAAACACAAAAACAGCTGCTAAAGATCTATAGGGTTCACACAAAACAATTAGCAATGCACAGGGGGTTTGAGTAGTACAAAATACCCAGCAACCAAAACATATTTAACTTAAAAGAAAACCTGGACATTTCTCCAAAATGCTGAGTAATCTGAGAATTAAAACTGTACCGAGTATTATGAAGAAAAAGGCTCTGGAGGCATATATTTTTCCAGAAATATAGGAAATAATGATATTTTCTGGGTTGAAATAATATGACTACAATTGGTTAAGTATTGTCTGGTATGGAAAAAAAAGCTTCACTTAATTGAGTGCCAACTTTAAAATTAATAACTAAAGGCAAAATATATTAAGAAATCCATGCCAGATCCTTTCACATAAACCCCAAGTAGTCTTTTTCATTGATCCTCTAAATGTACACGTGTTGTATTTTTAATATACGGCTTACAAAAATCAATTTATATGACCCATAAGCATTGTTATTAAAAGATAAAAAGAAACTGGTTTTTCCTACGGCTGTGGATGTCAGAAAAGGCCACTTTGTATTGGTTTACTAATTAAATCATGCACCCCAAGACAGGTTTGTGAGCTTAAGATTAGAATGGTGGAATTAAACCATTTTTTGTTGTTAAAATAGTGTGAACATTTTTTTAGCCAGTAGACTTAAGTTTGAAATTGTATTACTTTATTTTTTAACAATGCTTAGTAAGTTGTCTTAAAGGGTTATGAATAAAATGATGGAGCATTCTTGTAATACAAAAAGCAGGCAGAATGGCCCGGCACCAGTGGCTCTCGCCTGTAATTTTAGCTACTCAGGAGGCGGAGATCTGAGGATCATGGTTCAAAGCCAGCCCAGGCAGAAGAGTCTATGAGATTCTT